TCAACATGTTTCACCTGTTTCAGGTGTTTCTTGCTGCCCACTTTCAGGTTTAGTGTATAAGACCTACAGGATTAAGTCCATAATTTGGCCACAGCCCAAGGGGGATTGTATATATAAAATTAGACACAGTTCTGAGGCTGAGTTTTACACACACACACACACACACACACACACACACTTTCTCTCACACACACACTCACAACTGGTTTGGGCATTTAGGGAAATAAGTAGCTAAACTAATTTTACTGAATTTTCTAGGAATGTGGTTGTTTAAACACCACTTGGTAAATTATTGAAAATAACTGTTAATTTTGTATTCTCCATTTCATTGGGGTTTAGTAACAAAATATCATTTGGAATTAAAACTGGGGAGGTTTATCCCTTAACAATTGCATAATTACTTTGAGAACCTTAATAATTATATACTTAATTTTATTGATACATTAGGGTGGACAAGAAATTCAAACTTGTCAAATTTTGATTCTGGACCAATACATAATAGACACAGTTTTGAGCTATGACAAATCTCTCTATTATTTTTATGTAAAAATGTTGCATACATATTAAAATGTCAAGTTGAAACAATGTCTGTTTTTAGACAGGATGTTGTAGTGTTAGTCTACATTGATAGACACATGGAGTTTGCAGCGAGATGGCATGCCAGTGGAGATCGGGGCTTGAAATATAGATTTGATAGTAATCAGCGATGATGTCAGTAGTAGCGAATGTCAAGCTGTCAGTAAAAGGATAAAGAGCTGAGACCATCACCAGCAGGTAGGAAGGTTTTGTCTGCTTGAGGAATAGCAATTGGGAGAAATCATCACTGACCAGGAAAAATGAGCATGAAAGCAAAGTGAAGATAGCAGTACATTTCCCTTAAAATATAAGCAAATTTAAATATGGACTCACTTTTTCACATAATGGTATAAGTTCATCCTCAAAAAGGTCTCGGGGAAGTTTCCCAATAAAGATTTCACAGCCCCTTTCTGGGGGCGCAGCATCCCAACCAGGTGGAGGACCCCCATATTTTCTTTGTCCATTTTCCTGCAAATCCAGGGGAGGTTGTATGGGGGACAGAAGAAAACAAGAGATCTTTAGTCCAAGCTTCTCAATTATTTTTTCAGAATCATTCACAGTAAGAAACAAACTTATCATTGACAAATAAGAGTGGACTGGTCAGAGGATAAAAACCATAAAAGTCTCTTTGTATGGATTTTAATATCACACTCTATGCTTCAGTGGCTTGCTTGAGATGAGCATGTGAAAACTGATAAATTGCTGAGTACATATAAGGGGTTCTTATTTTCTGGTGTCAGTCAAAATCACCTAATCATCATAGGATCTGACTATTCTTTGGATCCACTGTGGAGGCTGTGTGGTGTGGTGGTAAAGTGTTCTGGAGCTGGACTACTTGGTTCTGTGACTCACGAGCCGAGGGGCCTTGGACAGAGGACTTCTCAGAGCCTCAGTGTTCTCAGAAGCACAGTGAGGACAGTATCAGCCTTTGATTCCAGGAGAGAATGCATCAGATATGTATGGTACGGCCCTTGGCATGTGATATATATTTCTTGGTTATTAATTCTCTTCTTGCGTCCTTGAATTTTGGTTGTTTCATATGCCAAGGAAGGCAACACAAGACCCTGAATAGAAACATTGTCAGATTACTGTTGGAAGGAGTGGCTGGCTAATTTGGGGGGGTAGCTGGTGAGGGACTTAAATCTATTTTTCAAAGCTGACAAAATGGTGAGAGGTGTTTACTAATGGTGGATCTCTTTGTGGGGAATAATGCTGTTCCCTGTCCACATAGAATTAGTTTCTATTTTTCCGTTTTTCCTAAAAATCCTTGGTTAATTTGATGTCCTTATTTGGGGAGGAATAGCATTGGTGCTTCTCTGCAATGCCAGCGATATTGCTCTAAAGGTTAAGGACCTAAAAGTAACACAGGTCCAATCCACCACCGTTGATCTGCCGGAAAACGATAAATTTACTTTACACTTAGGCATAGGCAGAACGCTTTGCCCTTGTGTGTTAGTGATTTTTGAGGAAGGGAAACTATAAGGGACCAGACATCAATATGCATTACTAACTTCTACAAATAACACTTTAAAATGTTTTATACTATAAAATGATACATGTTGGAAAAAACTTAGTAATGCATAAAGTAAAAAGAAAAGTTCCAAATGCATCACCCTACCCATCCATAGATGTAGTTACTGTTAAAAAATTGCACTACCTTTCCAAATGCTTTTTATACATATTTTAAAAAGATATGTGGGTTGTTTAAAAACATCGTTGTGCGCCCTGGCCGGGGGTGGCTCAGTTGGTTGGAGCATTGTCCTTTACACCAAAAGGTTGCTGGTTCAATTCCTGGTTGGGGTGAGTAAGGTCTCTCTCTCTCTCACTCCCTCCCCCCCATCTCCACCTCTTCACCCTCCCTTCCTCTCTATATAAAAATCAATAAAAATATATTTGGGTGAGGATTAAAAACAACAGCCAAGCCAGTGTTGCTGAGTGGTTGAGCGTTCAACCTATGAACCAGGAAGTCACGGTTCAATTCCCAGTCAGGGCACATGCCTGAGTTTCAGGCTCAATCTCTAGTAGGGGTGTGCAGGAAGTAGGTGCAAAATGATTCTTTCTCATCATTGATGTTTCTATCCCTCTCTTCCTCTCAGTTCCTCTGTCTGAAATCAATAAAAACATTTAAAAAACAGAAATATTGTT